AGTAGTGCTACTAAGCAATATGTAAAATTATAAATATAAAATAACTAGTGAAATAGAAGAAAAATACATTTTTATTCAGAATTCCACATTCTTTTGAACTTTGTCATAAAAGGTACGACATTCTATTTAAACAAACCAAGTTGACCTTCAAATTTCCTAAACATTTCCACCTACAAAAAAGAGTGTATAGGTTAAGTTATGCCTCGTTTAACATCACACAACTTTTATATGCAACGATGTTTTAACCAACGCATAATTTAGAAAATATTCAATGGTGCTAGTTAGGTGATCCACCCTATATGTATATACACGTCATTCATTTTACTTCTGAGTTATGAATTTTTTATATGCATACTTGAATACTTGAATTGTTCACTTTTATTCTAAATAAAAATTTCTTAATTATGAGTAGATATGCTTTACCGTACAGTGGTTAAAATATTGGAACATCTAAATGTGAATGTATTAGTAAAATCGCTGGGTTAAAAAAGTATTTCAAAATTATGAAAGAACAGTGTACTGGCGAATTTTGAAGAATGAGATAGTAAAAATTTAAAAGTACCTGTCAGATACCGAATTTTGTATGAAATATGCAAATTAAATGCAAATATGCAAATATACAGTATACGTTGAAGCAAGATCATTGGGTTTATATTTGGTATTTTTCACGGTATTTCTCGCACATAGTGTACATTATTTACTGTATCAATTTTGGATTTTAATTCTCTAAGTCACTATAATTTGCTGTTATTTAATTAATGCATTATACATATGTTTATTTATCACTCTTTGTATGATTGTAAATGTACGTCATTTAGAACGTACAATTTTTAGTAAAGGACATACGTTGTAGTATGTATATATGTATAAAATTTTGGTCAAGATCACGACATTATTTCTATACTTTATGACATACGGTATTTATGTTATATTATTTTTATAATTTTAAATAACTTTATGCGACTAAATTTTTCAAAAACTGTACTTTACGCGAATAAGTATCAGTACTTAATAATTAACATAATTCTAATGCTAGAAACTTCAATTTGCGATGTAGATGCTTTGCACTGTTTGTTAAGCACTCGTTTGCATATACTTTTTCTTAAATCACTACTTTATGTGTAAGTGTTGTGTATCTGAAAGTAACAATAACTATGTTTGATAATCTTCATTATGCTATTAAAAGGCATAGAATATTATGCAAAACTTCACCCTAGGTTATGCTTCACGAAGTTGAAGTTGTTGCTGCTGGCAATCGAGATAAAGGGTGAAGGAGGCTGCGATAGTAAGATTTCAATTAATCCACGCGGTGCCAAAATCGTTGCGAATACTCAGGGATTCTTCATTGCTCAATCTGCTGACGAAGTGAAACGGTAAGAATAAATTCTTCCTACAAGAAAAGCATGAGAAAGCGTAAATAAAATAAAATTAAAAACTATAAAATAAAACTTTTTCTTTGTTCGTAAAGGTTTACTATTTATTGAGAAAGCAGAAAGAAAAAAGTTCATTGTAAAATAAAATATTTTATACAATAATAAGATAATATGTATTAAATAAATTAAAGCAATTATTATTAATAGCAGAATATAATTTTACATTTACAAAATGATTTTACGATCTTTCAGTCAATTATTTTTATAAACTGCATGTTTGGATATTACAATAATACGCTGTAGAATATGTTGTTACATCACGTCATTCTTACAAAAAATTGAAATAATTTAAGATTAATTTATACCACAAACATATTTTTATCATGTTTGCATATTTTAAAGGTACTAAGAATAAATCATTTCAAAATATGTATTGTCAAGTTTTATACAAGGTAACCCACCTAACGTGACCTCCTCAGTTATTTTCGTCATTAGTAGACCACTCCAATTTTTTTCGTCATAGAGAATACAGTTTCAAAGGATCTGCAACGTAGTGACTTTAGATTTTTTCTATGTCCTTTTTCTTAAATAGGTTCTCAAAGTCACGTTTAATGTTTTCATGTATAAATTTGATATATAAAAAAATGTATTACATTGTAGTCGTTGAATTCGTCTCAATGCCAATTAGCTGATAGGCAAAAAAGGAGCTACATGTAAAGTTAGACATGAAAGAATTGAATGTGGCTTTGAAAACTTATTTTGAAAAGAGACAGAAAAAAATCTAAGGTCATCATCTTGTAAGTCCTTTGAAATCGTATCACCTGTGATAAAAAAATTTTTGATCGGTTCACTAATAACGAAAATAATTAAGATGAACACGTTAGGTGGTGCACCCTGTATATTATACATTATATACAAGATGAGGCAGGATGCATGGTACAACCGGGCAGGGAGTGATTTTACATACAAAAATAAACCGAAAATGAAGAATAAAATTTGTTCGTTTGAAGCCTCATTTTGGAGAAAATCGAGTTTGAATATTTATGAAGAATGCATGCACTTGACTATCTTCGGGATTCATTTTTGTACTAATAGGCAGTGCCTGTTACGTTTATTAACGATTTTATTACTTTACATGTACATATGTAGATTCCTGAATGAACTGTTGAAAGTAACATTCTTGTTGGCGTATACAAATTCTTGCTCTTCGAATGAGAATCGTTTTTACGCTTTAATTGTTCGAAAGCCAGTACATATTATTCTTCCTTTGAGCTGCAGAAGATTTTCTTTGCGAAATGTGACATTACCGCTATTTAGCAGCATAACAGATTTCAATTTTCTCGAAAACCAAGCTTCTTATGAAAAAATTTTAGTTTTTATATTCGGTTTATTTTGTTTCGCGATGGAGAATCTGTGGTAAATGCCATGCTGTTTCTCACAGTCTTCTTACCAGAATGCATCCTCGCCTTTCCGACTTCTTGGCTAGATCCTCTAAGAACAGTGCCCGTATTCTTAAAGCAACGCAACATTGTGTTGCTTGTTATTTCTAAACTTTCCCATGCCTTCTTCCAAACAATCAATCCTATGACATCCGACAGCTACATGATTTCGAATCACTAGTAATCGTTGATCGTTTGGATTATACAGAGTGGACCCTGTAAGAATTGTCACCTTGAATATTTCTGGAACCATGTAAATAAGAAAAGAATTTTTTCAATCAAATTTATTTGGTGTAAAAATAACCATCCTATGGTTCTAACAATTATTTTCTAGGTAGAATCGCTAAAAAGATGTGATGGTCATACCTGTTCTTTTAATGACGTGTCACAGTTTTGTAGTATCGGGGCCTCCATAACCAAAAATACGAAACCGGCACGGGACAATACAGAGGGAGTGGTTGGCGTAGCGCGCAAAGCCTTAGCTTGCTAAGCCGAAGGTCTCGGGTTCGATTCCCGTGTTGGGTCCCTCAATATTTTTCCGTCGTCGGTTCCTACATATGGGAGCTCGTCCGGGATGGAGGGCACTTTTTACGGCTGCACGAAGCCAGGCGCTGTGAGATGAAAACATCATCTCGAGGGTTGCACGTCTCCCAAATTGCGACGTTTTCAGCTGTGTGCCACTGTGTGGGGGAGTGTACCCGAAAAGTGTTGAATTTATCGAGTTGTGTTGCAATGAGGACATTCGAGGGCGAATGTCAGTTCAGGGTGGCCGAGTGTAGTATCGGGGGCCTCTATACCCAAAAATGGGAAACCGGCACGGGACAATACAGAGGGAGTGGTTGGCGTAGCGCGCAAAGCCTTGGCTTTGCTAAGCCGAAGGTCCCGGGTTTGATTCCCGTTGGGGTTCCCTCAATATTTTTCCTTCGTCGGTTCCTACAGTTTTCTATTTATTTATTAATAGCAGTTCCTAAGACGAGCACAAAGACCTGTAACACAAGGTCAGTTAAGGTCACAGAAGGTAGCGCGCAAAGCCTCGGCTTGCTAAGCCGAAGGTCCCGGGTTCGATTCCCGTTGGGTTCCTCAATATTTTTCAGTCGTCGGTTCCTACAGTTTTCTATTTATTTATTAATAGCAGTTCCTAAGACGAGCACAAAGACCTGTAACACAAAGTCAGTTAAGGTCACAGAGGCACATATGCCTCAATGAATTCTGACGTCATTAAGAGTGCAATTGTGAGTCTGTAATTATGTAAGGTTATGTAATCAACCTTCTATGACCTCGACTGATGTGCTGCAGGTCTTTGCACTCTTCTTAATAGCTGTTATTAGTAAATAAGTAGAAAATCATTGCATGACGTTAAAAATAAACAGAGATGACCGAACCATCCCTTCAGCAACTCCGTTTATAAGAGAATCGTTATGACCATACAGTGGTCCCTTTTATAGCAAACAACTTATATTCAAAAAATTTGTTTCTTACTTTCATGATTTCCGAGATATTCAATGTAGTACTTCTTACTAATCCACCCTGTATACCCACTCTCACAAACACTCTGACCACACGCAGTTTAAGTCCCTACCACAAATTGTACGAAAGCAAAATAGCGCTAGGCTAGTTGCCTTCGATGACCTTAAAAATACGCCGTTGCTAGCATATACACATATTTTTTTATTTGTGCAGTAGAGGCACAATGTTACTAACAAATTCTGTTGTTAGTTTGCAAAATATAAATATTTGATTTAATGTATTTTAAATAAAATAACAAATTTTGCATTATACATAGAGAATAAAATATAAATTTTTATTGGCTTCTCTTAAGTTACAAATTAGCAATGTTATTAAGTGTAAATACTTTTGAAAGTTTAAAAATTCCATTGTCTAATAACCACTGCTTGTTAACTATTTGACGTGCAATGAACAACAAATAATTTAATCGATGGAAATTTTAGTAGCTGATAATATTTACTGTCTCAAGTTTTTACTTTGTTCTTGTACTTGTTAATGCGTGAACTTTTATTAATCAGTGATCGTTGTATATTTGCAGGGCGTGGTTCTATTGCAAAGCATGTCACGAGGATATTAAAGACGAAACTCTTATCAAGAAATGCAAGTGCAAAAATTGTAAGTCTTTATAGTCTAGTGATAGCCCTTAATAACGTCTTTTAACTCTCTCTCTGAATTCTATACTATTGAATTTCTTATTAACCGAACTTCATTCTGTTGGAGTTATTTTCTAAATAATGATTACCGATACATCTCTATGTACATAGAGCGCGCTAAATATATTTAAAATATTGCGAATCACACACCATCTGATCTTAGTTTAAAGGATCAGTTACAGCCATTTGGATCGAAGTTAATGAATCCGTGTGACTCGCAAACGATTAACGACTTTACATAGACTAACGTATAAGACCGGACAAATCACACAGGAAGCTCTCTTTGTCCATGATTCCTTTGCCCTCTCCTATTTCTTTTTCTCTATGTCCTTTTGTCACCGAAAGCCGTAGCAGTAATTACCGTGACAATTAACGAAGTGACATGGTTGTGACCATCCTCTTGTGATATATGATCTAGTGGGGCAGCAGCAGCGCTACTGGGGCCGGGATTTAGGTAACGTCTCACACTCGCTCGCCTAGTCTTTACAAATTCATAACTACCTCTCTTACGCCTTCGTTCTTTTCTTTCTTCTTTCATTTCTCCTCTGTCTAAACAATCTGATTCCTAATCTGCATATGTTACTAATGAACATAATTTGTTTGGTTTATGTTCTCGTTACCTAATTTACCGAATTTTCTCTCTCTCTCTCTCTGTCCCGCTCATTTAATTCCTCTTCGCTCCTCTCTACTATTGTATTTATGTACATATTCTTCTCTCCCTCTCTCTCTTTCTCTCTCTCTCTCTCCCTTCTCTCCTTTCATCCCTCTTCCTCCCCACTTCTCTATCATTGCCTCTTTGCATATTTCTGTCTTTGTGTCTTAACTGTGTACATATGCCTTCAAGTTTTTAACCATTATCTTGCATATACACGCCAAGGCGATGATGATGATAATTATGATGATGACAATGGCGATGAGATGATTGCACTTTTAATCCTCATTCAGAGACACTGTTCAACGCGATTGTGATGTTACAGTTGGGTATTTATTCGTTTTTCACGAGTTTCATATTGATTACGCTCTGATTACCTTATTGCAAAACTAGAATTTCTCGAATTAACTGTTTTTCAAGATTCGATTCGAACTTACCGAGATCTGTTCACTTAAACAAATTATTAATGGTTTGAGAGATCGGGTAAGACAAACTTGGTCGTTTAAGGCTGACTCGAAATTTCTGTTATCACTTGAATAATAACGTGACGTGAAAAATGAAATACCACTGACACATACGTAATATGTAACCCTTTATAGTTCTGTCAGTTGGCGCATGTCCACCTGGCCAACCGGGGAAATTAGCCTGCACTCTAGTGTGTGCCCTTCTCGCTCGCCTTGCATGCATAATTAGTTTCCGATTCGAATATCTTAATGCCTTATGTTAATGATACGACAGCTTCGAACAAAAATCACTTGCTCTCTATTTGTCTGTCAATTTCTTTTCATTTATTCCCCATCTCTCTTTCTCGTTTTCTTTCTTTTTCTATCTGTCTACTTATCTATGTATCTCTATCTATTTTTCTTACTCTATCTATTTTCAACTCACTTTCGCTATTTATCTTATTCTCTCTTCGATCGTGTGAGAACTTTCAATGTGCCAGTTATCACTAATGGAACTCTATCGGTAAATAGGTTCGACTGATTATAAATTAATCGCGTATCTTCTGTACTCCTGCTTTAACATTAACAAAGTTTCACGTTATGTGAAAGTGGATTATTCATGGGATATTCCGATAATGAGATTTTTCGAGAACTTCACGCCAACGCAGCCAATTATCGTCGTATACTTTCGACTAGGGATTTCCTTGAAGTAAATTTGTAATTCTACTGGTTTATAACGTCACACAGCGTATCATACTCACACGCACATTCCAATCGGAAATCAACGTCCACCATGATAATCTTAAACCCTGGGCAATCTACGTTTTTCACAAGTTTTTGCTGTTATCGGACCAATGCAGAAATTTTTACGTTTAGTCATTTGAGATGACAAGAAAATTCAACGATGGCAAGGATACATCGGAGGTAACCAACATATTTGATGAGCTTTACATTTCAGTTTTGTGTGTGATATTTAGTGTCTCCTGAACCGACTGTAAGAACGATCACTATTGTGATTGAGAATAAACTTGCAAATAATAACATGACGCTATTAATTTTAGATTCATACGTGAATGAAAGTACAAATAAACCATTTTTAACTGCCGCAAATCTTGTTTAGTAATTTAATTCTCTTTTAAATTGATTTACAAATGAAAACATGAATTATATATATTACAGAATAATTTAATGTAACATTTTTTATTAAAAAAATTATGCAAACATATTTTTATGATTCTTGTTCAGAAGCTTTATATCATTTAGATTGAAAAAAAAAACATTCGCACGTACGAATCTTTGATAACTATAAATATATACAGGGTGTCCCGTAACGCTGGGACCTCCCGGAAATGGGGGGTTGCTGGGGTGACCCTGAACAACTTTTTCCTTATCCAAAATGTAATTTGAAGCTTCGTTTTCGAGTTATTAACGAAAAACACTGGCCAATCACAGCGCCCGTAGAGCCAGCGCTCAGGGACGGGCAACCGTAGGGCCCGACCGTAAAATCAGCTGTTCCGGATTACCTGGAAAGGTCGGGATTGACACAACGACCCACTTCCGTCGAAGCAGGTTCATTCGTGGATGAATGGGTAAGTTTTTCATAAGTAATAAAACACTTTATTCCTT